TTTTTTATTCTTTACAGTATCCTTCTTGACCTCAGTCGCCATTTTGACATTCTTAACCTCAGCTTCCCCCTTTCTCTCTCCTGTGTTCCTCCTCTCCTCGCTCTCTGCTTCCTCCCTTCCCTTCTTTACCCAGAGCCTCTGACTCTTTCCTGCGTGTCTCTCTTGGGTCGTGACATATGCGTCAGTCTTGTCTTCTGGCTCTTTCAGCTTTTCGGCACAATACAATGACAGAGAGGACATTTCTTTGCAACCTTTCAAGTTCGAGATGACGTCACATCCTCCAAGACTGTGTCCCAGAAGGACAGTGTCTTTTATTTCATCTCTTAGCATCTCTGCTTCTCTCTCGTTCCCGCTCTTTATCTCTTGCTCCTTTCGTCCCCCAGGGCTCTCCCCCATTGCTGCTTTCGTCCCCAGTTGCAGGTTGCTCTCCACCAATGTGCCAATCATTTTATCTTTCGGAGAAGAAGTCGACAGCAGTTCCTCTTTGCTCGTGACTCTTCTATTCCGCTCGGTTTTGTCCACTTTGAGAGACGCAGGATAGGGCGGTTTAAGTTTGGGGCTGGACGTAGCTCTAGGAATGTGCGAGAGAGTACGGTTGAGACTCTTGGGAGAGTCGGTTGAGGAAATCTGGGAAGCAGATGATGTTTTTTTAAGCGTCTTTTGTGGGGAGTCTGTGGAGCCCATGATATGAGATGCTGAGGCAGTTTTTTGCATGTTATTGGGAAATACTTTTGCACTCGCTTGTAGCTTCTTCTCATGGCTCACATTTGGGGATCTTGGTTTTGTCCCACTGGGTCCAGTTTGGCTGGATAAACTTAAGACCTCCACTCCAAGTGCAGTTGTTTTGGTTGTTTTTTTTGATACCGTTTTAGTCGTAGCAGTTGAACTGGCTTTTCCCGCAGTGACCTGCTTGGTTGTCGCTGAGTGCATGGTGGGTATTTTTGATGTGGATGCAGGGAGCAGTTCTGCGGCTGGAATAGCAGCGGTGGCTAATGCAATGTGTTTTAGTGTTTTCACATGGCCGGCGGATTTCCTGGAGGTGGATCTCTCCTCCTGCTCTTTAGCTTGTACTTCAATCCCATGATTCTCTCCAAGTCTTGTCCTGGTTCCAGGAGAGTGGTTTCCCTTTCTGTGCTGGGACTCAGATTCCCAACATGCCTTGGGTTCATTATTTCCAGGGGGATGAAGGAAAGCAGGTCGGGATTCCATGAAACCAATAATAGTTGAAGGATCTAATAGTCACAATCTGATTTAGTGATGTCCTAGTTGTGGATGTGACACATCTATGTAGAAACAACAACAACAACACATTTTTAAAAATATTTTGATAAAGTAATAAACCTTATTAAACAAATAAATTATATTTTTAAGGGCACATTTTTTTCTGGCTTTAATGCTATTTTCACAAGTGTTGAATTTTCATTGTCATGTGTTCATTGATCAAACATTTTAATTGACACTGGAAAGACAGGGTTATGGAAACTATGGATTTTATGTCAGATCAGTTAGGTACTGTAAATGCACTCCTAGAGTAACAACTGTAGGCTACATTTATCATGCATATTGAACTGATCTGTACATTTACCATACTGAAAAGATAATCCTGTTGCACTGTGGTGACCAACCCTTATGAAAAAATAATCATGGTTTTATCTCAATTAAACAAAAAAAAACATGGTTACAATAGCTAAATCATAGTAACCACAAATTATCCATGGTTTTGCTACACTAACCATAGTGTTTGTAGTAAAACTGGTTATACAAATGTTAATCAATACGCCAAAAAAGGTTACTACACTTTTACTATAATAATACCATGGTTAATTTTCGCAAGGGAACCCTTACAACACTTACAGCCCTAATGGAAGAAAGTTTTGAATGATGGCTGTTTTACGTGCAAACAGTTTTTAAAAATGTGCCACTTGTGAAATTAGAACCAAAGAAACTACATATATTAATAATAATAATAATAAACTTAAATACTCAAATTCCCTGCTGGGAAAAAAAAGAAAGAAAAGAGAAAAAACTAATTTAGGCCAGTTTAAGAAGTAGCCTATCCAAAACCCTGAAAAACAGACCTGTCCAACTAGGTTAGGCTGCAGCTGTTGATAAAAAACAAAAAATCTCTTATTCTTCTCTATATTTTAGTTCAGTATTTCGGTTTTAATTCTCCGTTTACATTAATATAATGTAACATTTAATTCGGTTCAGAGATTCAAATTTACATGCGACGCCCTTAACTGAACACAACACCACAACACAAGTAAACACTATCCGTTATTAACGAACTACACAAACGAGTTCTTAATAAATTTAATGCACAATCATACTCACTATTTAATGCCTCCCATTCCGAACCCAGGCATTGCCAAGACGCTGTGCTTGAGCTTCAGTTCGCGGATGCTGTGGCTGTGAAGTGTTCCCTCTCACGCTTGAATAAATGAGGAGACGACGCACGCACGCACGCACGCACGGAATATCGATTTAGTTTGATGTGCATCTCATTTTTCCAAAACATCAACTGGCAATTTAGAGATGTGGGCGTTACACTGCCACGTTTCTTTGCTTTCTCAGCTGGGGAATCGCCAGAAAGCAATTGCATCTCATCAATGTGTCTGCATTTTATTACTTAGCGCTATAGACTGGATTTGATTTTGTAAACGGAAGTTTAAAATCATTTATTTATTTAATAAATAACGTTACATATCTAATTTAAATAGACTAGAATGTGTTTTAAAATCCTTATAAAACACATACATGTTCCAATCACATTCACAACTTAACATCAATATGGAGCACAAAACTAGTCACAAGGGTCATTTTTTCGAGATTGAGATTTATACATAATCTGAAATCTGAATAAATAAGCTTTCCATTGGTGTATGGTTTGTTATGATAGGACAATATTTGGCTGAGATACAACTATTTGAAAATCTGAAATCTGAGGGTGCAAAACATTGAGAATATGGTATTTAAAGTTGTCCAAATGAAGTTCTTAGCAATGCATATTACTAATCAAAAATGAAGTTTTGATATATTTACAGTATGAAATTTACAAAATATCTTCATGGAACATGATCTTAATATCCTAATGATTTTTGGCATAAAAGAAAAATGTATAATTGTGACCCATACAATGTATTGTTGGCTATTGCTACAAATATCCCCCAGCGACTTAACACTGCTTTTGTGCTGCAGGGACACAGAAACTCCTGCATATCTCAATATCTCAATGCCAAAGTCTGCATCAAAAGTCAGAGATCTCAGTATTAGCTCAAATGTTTCTCATTAAAGTCAATGATTTGAGCTGCTTTCCATTCATTTTATAACTTTGTACTCTTACTGTATGACTACAATTGCTTATTGTAAGAAAATATTGACTCATTTTTGTTTCTATTTTTAGGAAATGTCTGAGAAAAAGAGTTTAAATTTTATAAAGCAATATGTGTATTGCGTGAGACTTCACTTTTGTCCAAATGAAGTTCTTAGCAATGCATATTACTAATCAAAAATTAAGTTTTGATATATTTACGGTAAGAAATGTACAAAATATCTTCATGGAACCTGATCTTTACTTAATATCCTAATGATTTTTAGCATAAAAGAAAAATGTATAATTTTGATACAATGTATTCTTAGCTGTTGCTACAAATATACCCCAGCGACTTAACACTGCTTTTGTGCTGCAGGGTCACATACTCTTTAAAAAAATTATTTTTAATTTGTTTGTTTTTTTAACTGCCCTCAAAGGTCTGGCTTGAAGCAAACGTTGAATTTAGTAATTAAATACCACGTTACGAATCCATACACATATTGGCATTTAGCCAGTCTGTTTGGATCTCATTAAATCGACTTTATCTGTCATATTAAAGTTGTTGATGGTACAATGGCAGGGCTTTGGTCACCTAGTAACCGGTAATGACTGTCACCCGCACCTGAGCTGATGGTTAGTAAAGTGAGACGGATTACTCTCAAAACACTGGAGCCCACAGCATATCACAGATCACAGCAGTTTCTATATTTCTCAAGAAGAATAATGAACATATATATATATAATTTTATACATTGCATACACACACTTCATAATTGTTTTTACATTTTATAATTGTCATACACAATTATATAATAAAAATGCACAGTATATAATAAAATGAAAAAAAGTATTTTATAAAATTCTAAATATATGTTAATATAATTCTAAATGTGTGTATATGACAAAAGTGAGGTCTCACACAATACATATACTGCTTTACGAAATTTCATAAACTCTTTTTCTCAGACATTTATCCTAAAAATAGAAACAAAAATGAGTCAATAGTCCTTACAGTAAGAGTATAAAGTTATAAAATGAATGGAAAGCAGCTCAAATCATTGACTTTAATGAGAAACATTTGAGCTAATACTGAGATCTCTGACTTTTGATGCAGACTTTGGCATTGAGATGTTGAGATATGCAGGAGTTTCTGTGTCCCTGCAGCACAAAAGCAGTGTTAAGTCGCTGGGGGATATTTGTAGCAATAGCCAACAATACATTGTATGGGTCAAAATTATACATTTCTCTTTTATGCCAAAAATCATTAGGATATTAAGATCATGTTCCATGAAGATATTTTGTACATTTCATACCGTAAATATGTCAAAACTTCATTTTTGATTAGTAATATGCATTGCCAATGACTTAATTTGAACAACTTTAAAGATGATTTTCTCAATATTTTGATTTTTTTTTGCACCCTCAGATTCCAGATTTTCTAATAGTTGTATCTCGGCCAAATATTGTCCTATCCTAACCATTTCAAAACATGGACCCTTATGACTGGTTTTGTGGTCCAGGATCACATATCTATCAGTCTGCCTCCTCACAGAAACAGCTGCGTGTGTGCGCTCTGCTGTCCGCTCCATCTGTCTGCTGTCGGTTCGAGTGCCGAGCGTCAGTGCTCTTTAACTCTGTGAGTCTGGCCGTGTGTTCAGTCTCCATCTCTCTCTCCCGCCGTCCGTCCGTCTGTCTCTCTCATGGCCTCCGAGCGCTCGTCCGCTGAGAGTCGCTCCTCGCACCTGAGCTCTGACCCCAGCATCATCGGCACCGCCGCCGCCGCCAACAGCATGTGGGAGGAGAGCTTCGACACAGAGAAGTAAGACTGCTTTCATTTCACACACAACAACTCTGAACAGCCATTGGACATTTAAAACATTCACACTTACAAACCTTCCTGCAGAGTTTAGATTCAACACACCTGTCTGTAATTAACAAGTAAACCCATAACTAGTCGAATCAGATGCTTTTAATTAGACTCTGGAGGAAAGAGGCTCTCCAGAACCAGGAATAAAGAACTAGATGACAAAATATCACTAGAAAATGTGACCCTGGACGACAAAACCAGTCTTAAGGGTCCACTTTTAGAAATTAAGATTTATACATCATCTGAAAGCTGAATAAATAAGCATTACAAACCATTGATGTGTGGTTTGTTAGGATCGGACAATATTTGGTCGAGATACAACTATTTGAAAATCTAGAATCTGAGGGTGCTAAAAAATCTAAATATTGAGAAAATCATCTTTAAATTTGTTCAAATGAAGTTCTTAGCAATGCATATTACTAATCAATAATGAAGTTTTGATATATTTACGGTAGGAAATTTACAAAATATCTTCATGGAACATGATCGTTACTTAATATCCTAATGATTTTTGCTTTTTAAATGTAAAACATTTTCAAAAAGAGATTTGATTATATTTGTTAATATTATTTAATTGGCCTGAACTGACAATGTTAATAACTAACGTTAACAAAGATGAATAAATACTGTAACAAACGAACCGGGCATTGTTAGTTAATTTTAGGTAATGCATTAACTTTTATGGGGCCTTTTTGTAAAGTGTTACTGATACTTGTTAGGAAATTATAAAAAAAAAATATAGCGATTAAAAATAAAATTAAAAGACGTATTTTAGACACAAAATTAAATTTGAAGGTAAAGTCAAATTTAGATCTTAAATGTCACTTACATAGTTTATTGATGATTTTAGCAGTAATCGCTGAAGTCATAAAAGAGATCGGTTACAAATCTCAAGTTGTTTTTATTTTGAGAATAAAGAGCCTAGAAATCTCACCGATGTCTCCGATATTTCTCATCAGACTCTCCACGTTCATTTTATTTTATAGCTCTATACTCTAACTACTACTGACTCGTGTGTGTTTGATTATTTCTCCTAATGCATTATTTCCCTCTCAGAGAAACATCTGAGACAAAGCTGATTCTTCAGTGAAACAACTGAGCTGGAAAACCCCATGAGCATTAAATAATTGATCTGGCTTTAAGTACATGCAGTCTTACTTGTCTTCTGACTCTATAACTGAAGATAAATAACCAGATTAGACCTGAGGTTTTGCTTGTGCTTCAATGCTTGAAAGCCCCTAAACGAACTCAAAAACTCATTTAAAATCAAACAAAGGCAGTAAAAGCAACCCAAATCATTTCTTGTTGATTAAAGCTTCAGATTGGAGAAACAGTTGCTTGATACATTTATTAAATGCCTAATCAAGTAACAGAAAGAAATGATTTGAGGAATCATTCATAACTGGAACAATAACAGTGCAGGATGAGTTACACTCTGAAGTTTGATATTTATACTTCAATAATAGTGATGCTAGACTTACACTACTGTTCAAAATGTTAGTTTTTTTTTGTTCACCAAGGCTGCATTTATTTGGTCAAAAATAAAAATTATGAAATATTATTACAATTTCAAACAGCTGTTTTTTGTGTGAATATCTGTTAAACTGTAATTTATTTCTGTGATGCGCAGCTGTATTTTCAGCATCATTCCTCCAGTCTTCAGTGTCACATGATCTTCAGAAATCAGTATAATATGCTGATCTGCTGCTCGAGAAACATTTCTGATTATTATCAATGTTGAAAAATGTTGTGCTGCCCAATATTGCTGTGGAAACTAAGATACATTTGATTTTTCAGGATTCACAGATGAATAGAGTTAAAAAAACAGCATTTATTTGAAATAGAACTCTTTTGTAACATTAGAAATGTCTTTACTGTTACTTTTGATCAATTTAATGCGCCTTTGCTGAATAAAAGTATTAATTTCTTTAAAAAAAACTATTGAACAGTAGTTTAACAAATTCCTAATTAAATATGGTAAACAGTATATAAAATTGTTTATGTAAAAATGTAGTTTTGAAGTTATTGGAGTACAAGAAAACACTACTTCAGCATTTCTACATCAACATTTCACTTTTCATTCGGTGGGGTGTTACATTTCTTTGTAATTATTTGCCAAATGTGCACGCATTTTCTAAGTGAAAGTGGCACACACTAAAATATTTGAGTTATGATGCATTGAGACTCAGAATCTGAAGGCTGCTTTGAAAGCTGAATGTGATCTCTGACTGGAACTTCACTCGCGGCTCTGCGTCTCTGTGTTTCAGTCACGGCGTGAGCACTAAGAGAGATTACTCTCCCGTGTCCTGGAGCGAATACTTTGAAATGATGGACGATGTGGTCATCGGGTCAGGAGAGACTAAGGATATATCCTTCACACACACTCACACTCACACTCACACTCACACTCACACTCACACTCACACTCACACTCACACTCACACTCACACTCACACTCACACTCACACTCACACTCACACTCACACTCACACTCACACTCACACTCACACTCACACTCACACTCACACTCACACTCACACTCACACTCACACTCACACTCACACTCACACTCACACTCACACTCACACTCACACTCACACTCACACTCACACACACACACTCACACACTCACTCTCACTCACACACTCTCACACACACACTCTCACACACACTCACTCACTCTCACTCACACTCTCTCACTCACACACTCTCACTCTCACACTCTCACTCTCACACTCACTCTCACACACACTCACACACTCACTCACTCACACACTCACTCACACACTCACTCTCACACTCACTCTCACACTCACACTCACACTCTCACTCACACACACACTCACACTCACTCACACTCACACTCACTCACGCACACTCACACACACACTCACACACACACACACACACACACACACTCTCACACTCTCTCACACTCACTCTCACACACTCTCACTCACACACTCTCACACTCACTCTCACACACACTCACTCACTCACTCACTCTCACTCACACTCTCTCACTCACACACTCTCACTCTCACACTCTCACTCTCACACACACTCACTCTCACACACACTCACACACTCACTCACTCACACACTCACTCACACACTCACTCTCACACTCACTCTCACACTCACTCTCACACTCACACACACACTCAC